ACAGAAAAAGGGAAAAATCATTCCTGATCCTTCTCTAAGCCATTGACCCAGGCAGTGCTATGTCTTCTCTGCCATGGCTGTCTAGTCTGCATTCCTCCAGTGTTCCCATGTGGGGTAGATGAAATCCTAGTCCTCTGAATAATGCCACAGCCCAGTCTTCTTGGGAACCCACTTGTGAATGTGTCACCTTACATATAGAAGGGACTTTGCAGATATGATTAAGTAAAAGGTCTTGAGATGGGGACATGAGCCTGGATTACCCAGGCGAGCTCAGTGTGTAAGAGGGAAACAGGAGGCTGAGTCAGTGAGAAGACAAGGATGGAAGTAGAGGTTGAAGGAGAAGGGATGCTAGGCTATGGGTTTGAAGGTTGAGGAGGAGACTATAAACCAAGGAACAAAGCAGCCTCCAAAAACAAGAAAAGTCAAACTGTCCCATAAAACCTCCAGAAGGAACGAAGGCATGCTAACACCTTGAATTTAGTCTGGTGAGATTGATTTTGAAGTTCCACCCCCTAGAATGGTAAGATAATACTTGTGTGTTGGGACCAGCAGATGGTGCAATGGTTACATCGCTAGCCCCCTCCCCATAGTTGACCTCGGTTCAAGTCCCTAGACCCAGCAGCTTAAAACTCACGTCGGGTGCCTGTGTAAGTGTCCCCAAAATCTCGAGAGGAGAATGGAGGAGAAGAGATTGCATCGTGCCCATCCCCTCTGGGGAGAGAGGTGTGATTTCTCGCTTTCTAACTCTGGCAAACGCATGTACCCTGTAGCAAAAATCTCTCTAAAATAAGTAAATAATTGTGTTTTCTTTTTTAAGAGAGAGATTTTTGCTATAGAGTAGCTGTGGTCACCAGAGAGACAGAAATGAGAAACCATTCCCAGGGCAGATGGCCACACTGCAATCATCTTCCTCTCCATTCTCCTCTTGGGATTTTGGGCACGCACACACACATACCCTGCATGAGTTCTACTCCTTGCCTGAGTTTTAAGCCTCTGGGTCTGAGATTTGAACCATAGTCGACTATGTGGGAGTCTAGCGATGGAACCTTTGCGCCCTCTGCTGGTCCCGAATGTATGTTGTTTTAAGCAAATAAATTGTGCAAGTTGGTTACAGTAGCAATAGAAAACCAATATACCACTGTAGTCCAAGATATCACTGCCACGTCTCACCTCACCCCTACTATTGCAATAGATTCCTAACTAGCCTCTCTGTGCCCACTATTTATTTTTTAACGTGGTAAGGACATTTAAGATGAGATCTACCCTCCTGTATTTTTACGTATACAATACGGTAGTGTTAACTATCGGCATAACATTGCACAGCAGACCTCTAGAACTTACTCATCATTTAAATTAATTTTTTTTTTTTTTTTTTTTTTTTTTTTTTATTGGCCCGCTTGTGTTCATTTTTTTTTTGCTATAGGGCCCATGTGCTTGCAGGAGGGTGGGAGAGAGAGAAAGTGAGAAAACACCTCCTGGGGGACTGGCCATGCCATCATCCCTTCTCCTCCATTTCTCCTCTCAGGATTTTGGGCACATACACACGTGTGTGCCTGGTGTGAGATAGCTTTCTTTTTAAAGAAATATAATACTTCATTGTATGTATTCTCTGGATCTACTCATGACTCCCAGTCAATCCACCCTGCAGCATTCTGGGTGATGTTTGCAAAGTCCCCTGCTCGAAACTGTCCAGTGGCTTTTCATCCATTTGGTATACTATTCAGACACCTTCCCTGAACCTATGTGGCTCTCCACAGCCTGGGCTATTTCTCTGACTATCTTGCCTTGGTCTGTCCCTGTCCCACCTTCCTCCAGCCACAATGGCCCTGGGATCTTTGCAGTAGCCATTTCCTCCACCTGCAATGCCTTTCCCCCAAAGATGGCCTCTTCCATGTCACTCAGGCCTGAACTGCCAAAGTACCTGCTCAGAAAGGCTCTCCGTGAATAGTCATGGAGAGTCACCCTGAAATAGTACTCCGCTACCTACCCCCTGACACATCTGGCTTTTTATTTTAATCATATCTTCATCACTAGTGGGCATTGCTTTGTCTATTCATTTGTGCTGGTTTAGTTGTCTGTCTCTAGTAAATTGTTAACTTGGTGAGAACCTTGGTATCTGTTTTGACAGTGTGTCCTCACCTAAGAGGATGTGTAGTAAAAAGAGGGGACCACTGGAGTGCGCAGCCAGGAAGGCGGCCAGTGGAGATGGCATGGTAGCTGGTATTTGTATTCTTTGGGGGGAGACCAAGGAAAAGAGTCCCTATTCAGTTTTATTAGAGGTTGTTTTCTGGCTTCTTAGGGGAAAGAAATGAGTGGGATTGTGGATAAAGAATTGAGCCTAGGAAAGGAAAATTGGTGTCTAAATTCACATTTCAAACTGTTGCTATGTCTTTAGTTGGTCTTTTAATTTGTGTCCTTGCATTGGTAAATTCAATATCATCTCACAAAAAGAGTAATTGTCCACAAAGGAACAAGCTGTAGTACAAAAACAAAACAAAACAAAACAAAAAAACCCCCAGAGGACTAATGTAAAAAGAATTTAGCAAGCAGCAGCCAGCAGAGGGGGTATAGCTCAGTGGTAGAGCATTTGACTGCAGATCAAGAGGTCCCCGGTTCAAATCCGGGTGCCCCCTTGGTTTCCTTTACATGTTTTTGTCCAGACTAATTTCCCCTCTTCAAACGTTTACTACACATTAGAAATAGTTACCGACTGAATGAAGATAACCCCTGTAGTCTTCCTAAGTACCAAGAACTCACCTCAACTGTCAACCTGTAGTACTCAGGCAGTGCATAGTTCCCTCTCTCCTAGGCTGTCGGAGATCTTTTGGTTTGTGTTTTTGGATAAAAACGGAAAAAAAATGTCAGAGGTGTGGCAGTATTATTTTTCTTAGTATCTGACCAGGAAGACTAGGAGAACAAATCCAAATTCATAAGGTTTATATACTCACAAAATTTAACAAGACAGCACAGATATGATATAGTAAAAGTGTATTATTCTTTCCTCTATATTAGCTTGAAAGCAGCGCTTTGGCTTGAACAACTATAGGTGGTAAGTTCAAGTTTGGTGCTCAGGAAAGAAAAGAAAAGTTGGTTATTTATAGAGCTAGGCTTTTGTACCAGACCCCAATCCGGTTCTGTCTCTCTGTCCAGACCAGCAAGAGAGCTTACAGTATTTTTCTCCTGATTAAAAAATGCACTCCCCAGAGGCCGGGAGGGATGACACAACCAGATTCCGGGTTTAAAATATCGCCACTGCCCCCTGACCCAGGCAGCATGCCTCTCCTTTTCTCCTTTATTTTTTCTTTTTTTGGGCAAAACCTAGTAAAGGGGACGCCCTGTTTCACTCAGCTTTTTCCTAGTGATAGTCAGCCTTGTCATCCCTCAGCTCCCTCTCCCCACCTTGAGGTCACGAAACTCCACGGCCTTGCATTATTTGTCCAGTGGTTCCCAAAGTGTGTATTACCTGGGCACTTGTTGGAAATCAAAATTCTCCAGGCCCTAGAACAGGCCTACAGATTTAGAAACTGGGGATGTTTTACCAAACCTTCCAGATAATTCTGATGCACCCTCAAATCTGAGAACCACTGCATTCGTTATCAGTTTGCATCGGAATGTCACTTTATTTTTGTAATTAAAACGAGGGGGGGGACCGAGTCGAGGTAGGTGCACTGGCCATTTTAAAGTTCTCGAAGTGCTTCCCCTCTGCCTACGTCATGAGAAATGGAAGGGTCTGCACACACACAACCATGGCACGGAAGGCTGAAGTTGGAGAACGGCTGCATCTGCCGATTTCCCTCGTTTGATCCACGCCCCCCGCCGCCAACCTGGAGGAGTCATCCCGTCGCTGAAACCCCGCGCCGAAGCCGCGGAGGCTGAGGCCGGTAGCAGCGGCTGCTAAAATCCGGCGCCAGTATTGGGAACGCGCAGCTTTTGTACTGAATTGTGCGCGTACCATCCTCCTCCTTAGCGCTCCGCACAAAGTAAAACTGAAAGCTTTCCGCTGCAGTTGCAACAGAGGAAGAGATTTTTTTCTTTTCAGTTTTTGTTTTCTTTTCATCCAGGGCCCAAAGTATAATATAGGAATAAAAATAAGCAAGTTTTCCTACACGTAGGGGAAAAGCCACCGAGGGGGCACCCGGATTTGAACCGGGGACCTCTTGATCTGCAGTCAAATGCTCTACCACTGAGCTATACCCCCGCGTCTCTCACGGTGCTGGAGACAGCTCTTTTGGGTATTGAGACACACTTGGCGCTCTACACTGGAGGCAGGGCGTAAAGATGAAATGAAAGGATGGAGGAAAGCGGGCCAAGCTAAGAGGCACCCAGATCCGGGAAACCTCGGGGAAAGCTGCACCGAAGAGGCTCGGGGAAGAAAGAGCTAGCCTGGACCGCTCGGCGCTGAGCACAGGAGAAAGGGATCGATCCTGCCTTACAAATGTGGGAAAGGGGGTGGGTGAGAAGGATTCTGACTGGGGGACCGGGCAGGGGGTTCCCGATCGGCCCGCAGGTTCACTCCAGGTATCGACTGGCGGAAGGGAAAGTCCCCAGATTCGGTGAACTGCTCCGGTGTTCAGGAGGGGACCAGCCCCACGTTTGACTGGTGAGAGGGAGGGGGCCTTCCTGCA